ACACAGGAGCAGCCCCGGGGGGGGGGGGAGGACACACAAGAAAAACTCTCCTCACCTTGACGATCTCCTGCCCCAGCACCCCTCCGACCACAGCACAGACGGAGGCCATTTCCGAGAAGCAGCAGCTAGCGAGAGACATGCGAATAAGGGGGGGGGAGGGATCGATGGCCTGGGAAATGCCACCGGACAGGGCCAATGGGGCACTCCCCGCAGCCCCGCCCAAAGGTAAGCCCCCCCCACATAGAATGAGCCTCCCACAAAGCCCCCCCCCCTGCTCCAGCCAGCAGAGAAGTCCAGGGGGAGGTGGCTGCCGCCGCCGCCGCCACCGGTCTTTGTGCCAAGCAGGCAACAGTCGGCACCAGCTCCGCAGGCAGCCCCAGAGATGTCCAAGGAAGCCGCTTTGCAGGGAGAGGGATGCCGCCCTGGCCGGTCTCTCTGCGGACGTTTCCCCAGAAGCACCCCAAGCCGCTCTGGCGGAGGAAGGTCCAGGGTGGCACTGAGCCACTCAGAGGCCAGAGAGTCCTGCAGCGGCACCCCCTGGTTGCTCTGTGCCAACGAGGGGGCAGGAGCCCAGAGTCCCAGTGCAGACAGGGAGGCGGGGGCTTCCGCCGCCCTTGGCACTGCAGGAGGGGCCGGCCCCAGGCAGCAGTCCACCGCGAGCTCCCCAACCCACCTGGCAAAGTCGTCAGGGAGCAGGTCAGTGCCGACGCCCAGGGACTCCAGCACACCTGTGCGCGTCTGCAGGAGCGTCTCTGCGTCTTCGGCGTAGCCCTGAGGCGAAGGGTCCCGACCCTTTTCTGACCGGAATTTCAGGAGTACTGCAGGCAGGCAGACAGGCAGGCGGGGGTGGGTGGTGGTGGTGGAAAGGAGGAGGCATCGGGGGGGGGGACCAGTCCAGGAAGCAGCGGGGGCTGCCCCCCTCCTGGGGATTAATTTTCCACTTGCCACCTCACTCGTGTCTCCAGCCAGAGCTAACCCCCCCTCCCACTACCCTTCCTTCTTACACTACCGACGAGCAGCACCCGCTTGGCCACTCCGCACCCCAGCACGAGAAATGAAGTGACACGCCCCCCAGACCCATCTTTCCACAAGGGTCCTTGCGAGACTCCCCTCGAC